GAGCACTTATAGGAGTGTTCAGCGTGCTCTAATGTTGATTCTAAGTTAGACATTCAACATTCAAATGTTTCCATACCGGACTGGCAGTCAAGTGTTCAAAATGACATCAGCGTGAATGTTTAAACATCACATGACAGTCTGTTCGACCCTGCATCAACATTGCCAGCCACGAAATCGTCTGGGAAGTCAAGGTCGCCGAGTACTAGACTCATTTACCCAATTCATTTCAAAACAAGTAAAGAGTTCCTCTGTTTAGTTTACTTTTTTTTTTCCACCCTGTAGCTGCAGTCTGAAGTTTGGAGCAAAACTCTTATTTAATTTACAAGACCCGCCCCCACCATGACCCGGACAAAAGTTCCTCACATGTTCTTGTAGATTTTAACCCGCCACAAGCGATAACCGCACACGCAGTAACTGTAAAGTTTCATGAACGCTGCCGTATGAATTTATCATTATTGTAAAGCACTTTGTATAACCCTGACAAAGTAGGGTGTTCAAATGTTTTTTGGTATTCTAGTGGCAAGACATTAACGAGACTGCTTCGGGATACGTCAATTAAGTGATTTTGTGAATTCGTGTGGTTTTGTTAGATTTATGAATATAACCTGTTCTGCTTGCTGTATGGCAGCCAATCTTGGAATGTCAGTGAAAAAATTAAGAGGAATTCAGAAGCATCAGAGATGTGGTTTCTAAGACAAATTTTACGAATACCTTGGACTACCAAAGTAACTAACGACGATGGTTTGAAAGAAGCTAAATAAAGCAGATCTCTATGTACAACAATAATAAAGAGACAAACACTGTTCTTTGGTCACATAATGAGAAGAGAGGCATTTGAAAATATCGTGACAATTGGAAAGATGAGTGAAAAGAGGGGTAGAGGCAGAAAAAGAGATACGATGATGGATGGGCTGAAACGTTGGCATCGTGATAATGATGTATGTGCAACGTTCACGTTTCGTTTGTGTTTATTTTATAGTGAAGCTCGCTGATCTACTTTTTTGTTCGTTTTTTTTTTTTTATCTTTCCATGATATATGTCTGCTATTCAACTATTTAAAAGGGTTTAACAGGTGAAAGAGAACAGCGATAGGTTGTGGTTGGTCGTTTGACTGTCAGATCGAATCGAATCGGGAACCAGTGTCATTTTTAGTAAGGGGAAAAAAAAACCGGCTTTGTTAAGATTTGAACCCACGACCATCCGATCGTAGCCATCTGAACCTAAACTTCAGCCGGTCGTATTTTGATCGGCGGTGTAGCGTCTAGCCGTTACATCATGACGACTGGCACACAATATTTTACACACTGACTCTCTAGCCCGGCTCTCTAGCGTAGTTGGCTAAACCGGATTGCGCGGAGACCGGTGGCAAACTCCTTGTGGTCCGGGTTCAGTCCCGGGGGGTAGGCAGGAAAGCCACATTTTCTCCCAGATTTACGGTATTTACAATGGAATCAAGGCCGAAAGGTTGAGATATCCATATTACCGAGCCTAAGGGTTAACAACTCATGGCTTCTAGATACTAAAACAAACAACACACTGACTCTCCGGATTTTACTTTCTACACCAGAACTGATTAATTGGCACCTTTTGATTTGTCCGTGGCTTAGGCGTTGCGAGTCCGACTTGTAATTATAACGTACCTCAAATGAAACCCACTGCTGGCTACGAGTATTTTTAAATTGGTATGGGGCGTCGCAGGTCGACCCAGCCAAAAATTGATACAAAAATTGATGTCCAGGGGAAGTAAAGACGGCCGGCGTAATGCTGACCACATTACCACCCTCCTAGTGCCTATGAGTCTGGAAATATAGAGGTGGCTCTTCCCATATGCCCGATGCGCCCAAGGCGTAAAAAGAGATCTTGATTAGTTCTACGAATTTCTCCCCACGGACAGCCCATATACACACTAGCTCACTTCTGATTGGTCGACCTTCAGTCACCCGACCTTCCCACACTGCTGCGGGGGTGTTCGACAATGCCGTTGATATCACGTGTCGTATATTTAAACACGCGAGCGCTTTTAACACTAAAAAACATTTAGAAACTGCGTCTAACACTTAACCCCCTTAAAGAGTGCTTTAACCTATGTCACATGCATTCTCTTTCTTGGAAAAAAAACGTAAATGCAAGACAAGCCAGAAAGGAAACAATATAGCGGCAACCGGTAACCCCGCCATCCCCTCTCCCCTTTCGACAGAAAACCAAGCTAAAAATTTATAAATGGAACGTGACCTAGTTTGTTTGGGGAGATTATCGTGAAACTGACTGAGATCTTTACTTTTTTTTTTTAACTTTCTTTTGTCCCAACTTTCAAGATCATAGCATTACACTGTGCTGCAGCGAGGCATTGAAACCGCAAATTATGCCAATGGTCAGCTTCACAAGCGAGACCTGCCCACGTTAAGAAAGCTATAAAAAAATGTAAATTACCATTTTCCAGGCCTTTAGGCGTATAGGGCATATAGGGCTAGACCTATATTTTTTATGAATTAATCGGCACAAGATGAGTGATGTGGTCAGCATCACGCCGACCGCCTCTACTTCCCGGAACTGCACCCGGTGCCTACTTAAGGCTGGGTCGACCTGGGAGCCAAGGTCACTTTTTGAAAAAAGTCCGGCTCCGCCAGGAGCGAACCCACGACCTTCCGATCCGCGGCGAGCGTCTAGCCGCTCTGCTAGGGCGACCTAACGTTAAGAACACTCTTTCAATATATATGCAGCTAACGTGCTTCTCCTCAGAAGCTCAGCACTCACCCTATCTGTAATTATTGTTTCCTGTATTTGTATAGCTTTCCAGATTTCCCGCTTTCCCGAATCTCATTTTTTCCCCCCACGAATTTACCTCAGTACAGGTACCCGTACCATGCATACGACTCCTGTTCAGATCTGTGTATCGTACAATAACCCAATCTTGACATTTTCTACCCATCTGTAACTCACCCTAAAGGATATCCTTAAGACTCTACCTCCATCCCCCAAATGAGATCTAGCCTTCTGAGCCTTCAGATGCTTCTTTCTTTTCTTCTTTTCTCTACTCGTGGAAAGTCTCGCGGCGTCAGGGAAGGAAGAGATCTGTGGATCCTTCTGTTCGCTTCGTATAAAGTACTTTTCATTGTCTCTGATATTTCTGCGGTCCATATTCTGCGTTGTCGACCTCTGCAGACGGAACATTAGGAAAACTGTTACGATATTTGCTTTATCTAGTCCCTCAACCTTTGTGATCTTGTCGTGACACTTAATTAATGTCAAGTAATCTTGCGTGAAAGCTGTTCAGTCATTTCTCCTGGTTTCCCAGTCGACCAAGCGGCACTGCCAAAAAGAAGGGTGCAGGGACGCAAGCCTGGTATATTTTTTTCCCCACAATAATTTTACATACAAAAATGATATTTTATTTTAAATACTGAACTGCAAGTACTATTATCGTTATTGCCTGTGTTTATCACATTTCTGGACAATCTACCATATTTGAATTGACCACATTCTGGCGTGATGCTGACCACAAAACCGATTTGTATCTAAAATATAAGTCTAGCCCTATATGCCCAAGCGCTCGCCGCGGATCGGAAGGTCGTGGTTTCGCTCCCTGGCGGAGCCGGACTTTTTCAAAAATGACCTTGGCTCCTAGGTTGACCCAGTTTTGAGTGGTTACTGTGTGCAGTCCTGGGAGATAAAGAAGGCCGGCGTGATGCTGACCACATCACCCATCTTGTGCTGATTGGTTTATAAAAATATGTCTAGCCCTATATGCCATATACGCTTAAAGGCGTGGAAAAAGATCCTTTTACTATATGACCGATACGCCATAAAGCGTTGAAAAGGTTTCTTTATTTTTTTTTCCTAATGAATACATTCTTGCATAAACCTTGTATTTTGTTTATATTTTCAGGATGCCCAGTGACAAGCTATAGAAGAATATTTCATAAACCTGTACAAAGTACCGAATCTGCGTGTCATTGTCAGCTAAAGTTTGGACAAAATGCTAATTATCCAAGATGGCTGTTTAATTAATGAAATAGTGTTGATATAGATATAAGTGTGCGGCTGCCTGTTGTCCCATACTGCAGCTGAAAACTGCAATCTAGTTTATCGAGACGTTTATTTTCATGGTCTCTTAACGCTGTGCCTTTTATTACATAGAGTTTACGAATTTCAAATTACAGAAATAATATATACTTATTATTATGAGTAAACGTTTATTACGCAATCTCGAGTATAAGTTTGTACACATAAATCATCAGAGATGAGGGTGATTGAACGAGTCAAAAGATTACAGTGAATTGGCAACTTTTACTTCGATGTAGGAGGTATGTAGGAACGAACACTAAGTCAAAAGCTATAAAAACAAGCAGGAATGTTTTGCTGGTGGCCCCGAAGAATCATAAACGTAAAACTATTGTTGTACGTCTCTTGAAAAAATACTGAACTCATACACTGAACAGTTAGATACACAAAGAGAAAGATCTTTCGACTAATCAGTCATTTTCATCTTTCCATAACACCGCAAGTCAGTGGGTCACCTGTTACTGTTGACTTTCTGATCGGTTGGCTCCAGCTTAGTCAGTCACGGGCAATGGACTTGATGTGTGTATATTTGAGGCCTGTTCATTCAGTTATATACTTTACCCAGGTCATTCTAATCAATAAATTGTAGCACATGCTGGAGAGAAGTCCACCACGTTCAACCTTCCGATAACTAGCCAAAGCCACATATAGCGTCCGGTTCTATTTGTGGTCTTATTTATTTGCGCCACTTTCGTGGCTAATATTCTGATATTTGCACTAACTTTCTGACTAAGTCCCTCTTCCTCTAAGATCGCTCGATCCTTTCCGATGTCTGATTGTGTTTCTCACTGAAGAAAAAACATATGATCTTTAAATGAGCAATGTACACTGTCATGATTGACTGCAATAGCATCTATATTAGGCAGTAGCTATAAATAGTTCTTATTCATTGGACAAGAAAAGGAATATTCACATTATTTCAAATCAATGAAACCAACATGAGTTGTTTCCATACATTAAGATTCAAACTACGCCATATTTTATGGTTTAACACTTTTGGAGTATTAACTCTTCTAACGTTAGGATTCTTAGTCTATGTAAACCAGGTTGTACACATCGATGGCGTCGTTAAAAATAGTATTATCTTTAGATTCTACCATAAAAGCATAACCAGGAATGAGTCTTATATCAGCTTATATGAACCGGATATTGAACCAGCGCCTGAGATTCAAGCTTGCGTTCACCCAGTCTTGTCTGTAAACGATTCAGTTATGATGAAATTTTTCAAGACATATCCAAAAATTGTTTGTGGAGGAGAAGAAAATTGGATTTCTGTACAAAACGGAACAATCCGATTTTCAGTACAAGCAAAACAAAATCACAAGAACTTTCATTGTAATTATTTCCCTGTAATTCGTGGTCCAGGTGATAACAGTATTTCCTTCGGTCAACCTATAGTGAATATACGGAACGGTGCTCCATTAGTATCAGATTTTTTCAAAATTGTGTGTAAGGATTTCAAGAGGAATAAATATATAAATATCCACGCTGGGATCCATGTGAACAATACCATAAAGGAACGACTTAAGATCATCAAGCCTCCGGCCAACGGGTTGGGTCTGTCTATTGCCTTGCTTGGCTTTGATTCCATGTCTAGAATGTCATGGCTGCGTCGCATGCCTAGAACCAGAGAATTCTTGGTTAAAGAGTTAAAGGCTATAGAACTTGAAGGATATAATATTCTAGGCGACGGTACTCCTGCAGCTCTATTCCCTATTCTCACTGGGAAACTAGAACAGGAACTACCAGAGGCCAGAAGAAACGTTGAAGGCGCCAAACCGGTAGATGACTTCCCTTGGCTGTGGAGAAACTTTTCAAAACATGGGTACGTCACTTCCTGGGCAGATGCTCAAATCAAGATTGCCCCATTCAACTACCGGTTACTGGGATTTCAACACTCCCCAACGGATTACTTCATGCGTCCATTTTATTTGGCCGTGAATCCGTTGTATGGAAAATTTTCCCCAAATTGTCATGGATCTCTGCCCAGGCATATGGTTTGGTTCAACTGGATCCGGGACATTTTCTACATGTATAAGAATGACCCCAAGTTTCTCGTTCATTTTTATACCCCTCTCAGCCACGATGATAATAATTGGATAACTATGGTAAGTTTTGCTAACTTTCTTCTCTATTAACTCATTGTTGTCATTTTCATTATCAGTGCTTATCATTTTTTTAAACGTAATTGCGATACTTGGGATGCTTGCATATTGTGTTTAACCACTCTGGTATCCGGTGCCCAATTATGGATGGAATAAAAAAAAAAAAAAATACTCCTGCACCCAAAACAAGCGTGTCGCGAAAGGCTACTAATTATGGGTGTTTCCTTCGAAGTTGAAATGCATCTGACTGAAGGCAAGGAACAAACAGTCTGCACACAAAAAGCCAGATCTGAAGAAAAAAAAAATCGCACTCAAAACTGAGGTTCTGGGACAGGCACATAGTACTAAAGTGGACGACAACCGGAACTCTCTGCCCGAGTTAACAGCCATTAAACGTGAATAATAAGAAAAAGAAGCGCGTCCTCAGCTGTCGCTGCTTTGCAGTGGTGGACACACCTGCGGTGTTTCAAGATCTCAGGAGTTTAGATATTGGGCACTGGTCTAGCGGCTAGACGCTTGTCTGCGAATCGGATGGTGGTGGGTTCGGGTCTTGACAGAGCCGGACCTTTTCAAAAATGACCTCGGCTCCCAGGTCGACCCTGCCTTGAGTGGGTACTAGGTGCAGTCTTGGGAAGTAAAGGGTGGTAGGCGTGATGCTGACCATATTGCCCATCAAGTGCCAATTGGTTTATAACAATTTTTGTAACCCTATATGCCCAGTACGGTTGACGGTTTCGAAAAGGGCACTTTACTTTTTACTTTCCTTGCTGGTGAAGTGTTCCAAGAGGGACGATGTTTATGAAGACTGGTCGAAACGTTCGGGTTTGCGTCTTTTCCATTCCCTACGTTGAGCTTTCTAGTCACACATTGTGTGATATTTAGCATTTCTTGCTGTCAGCCTGTTCTTTGGCCACATAATGAGAAGAGAGATATTGGAGAACATCGTGACAACTGGAAAGATCAGTAGGAAAAGGGGTAGAGGCAGATCAAGAGAGATGGTGCTGGATGGGCTGAAACGATGGCATGGGGGGATATTATCAGGAAAGCTGTTCCAGGCAACCAGGGATCGTGATCTGTTTAGACGAAAGAGCGCCTACGCCAGTTGGCAAGGCACATGATAAGAATGATGCTATCATCTCGACTGCAGTCACCCCCTATTTAAGGTAATTTAGTCATGGAAAAAAAGAGGGTGTGTGGGGGAAAGGAAGGGGGGGGGGGGGGGGGGTTCAGGAAAATGATTTTTTTGTACTGAATGGGAGTGGCAGTGATGTAGTGACTAGAACGATCGCCTGCGGACCCAAAGGTCGTGGGTTTAAATTAAAAAAAGGACCCGACTTTTCCCCATTCAAAAATGTGCTTTGGTTCCCATAACGATCCATCCTTAAATGGGTACGGGGTAAAAGTCATGATAAGTAAAGGCGCCCGGCATGATTTTGACCACATCGCCCACGCAATGACCACTGGTCTATGATATATAGCTCTAGCCCTACATGCCCAGTACGCATTTAGGTGCAGAAGAGGTTCTTACTCCCCCCTCCCCCCACTCCCCAACCGCTCCTTTTAATGTAATGAATACTTTGGCCCGCCCGATTTCTAAACTCAACATTTACAGCCGGTGTAACCGGGGTGTTTTCTTTTAGCTTTTGTTATGCTTTAACTCAAGAAGCACCCGTGGTGTAGCGACTAGAGTTCTGCCTGTGAATCCGAAGGTCCTAACTTCGGGTCCTGATGGAGCCAGACTTTTTTCAGAAATGACCTTGTCTCCCAAGTCGATCCGGCCTTGAGTGGGTACCAGGTAAAGTCATGGGAAGTAAAGGCGGTCGACGTGATGTTGACCAAATCACCCACCAAAGTAGTAGTAGCAGGAGAAGTAGTAGTAGTAGAAAAAGTAGTAGATGTAGCAGTAGTAGTTGAAGTACTAGTAGTAGAAGTAGTAGCAGTAGAAGTAGTAGTAGTAGTAGAAGTAGCAGTAGAAGTAGTAGTAGTAGACGTAGCAGTAGAAGTAGTAGTAGTAGAAGTAGCAGTAGAAGAAGTAATAGTAGAAATAGTAGTAGTAGAAGTAGTATTAGAAGTAATAGTAGAAGAAGTAGTAGAAGTAGCAGTAGAAGAAGTAGTAGTAGAAGTAGAAGTAGTAGTAGTAGAAGTAGTAGTAGAAGTAGTAGTAGAAGTAGCAGTAGAAGAAGTAGTAGTAGAAGTAGAAGTAGTAGTAGAAGTAGCAGTAGAAGAAGTAGTAGTAGAAGTAGAAGTAGAAGTAGTAGTAGTAGAAGTAGCAGTAGAAGTAGTAGTAGTAGAAGTAGCAGTAGAAGAAGTAGTAGTAGAAGTAGCAGTAGAAGTAGTAGTAGTAGAAGTAGTAGTATTAGTGGTTTATAAAATACACGTCTAGCCCTATATGCCCAAAATTCCTAAAGATGTGGAAAAGTCTCCTTTTAATTTTTGGTTTTTAATGTAAAGAATATTTTTGTCCGTCCGAATTCTAAACAAAACATTTACATACAGTGTGATCTACCTGTTTCCTTTAGCTTTGGTTACTTTAACTCTTTCAGTACCCGACCTTTCACGTTGCCTTTGTTGGAGTTTTCTGCCATTGCACACTATGGCAAAGCAACTCTCAGCAAGTTAAACATTTTAGGTTCTTTTTTTAATATCTTACCCAAGATGACGTCACAGGACAGTCCACACATTTTAGAGTGTGGTAAGACTGGGTTTCCTGGCTTTCTGATGCTTTTAACGACCCCAAAACATTTAGAACTGGCCCTAACCCTAACCCACCTTCATCACACTAGAGAGTGCATTTTAGGTGCCACGAATGCATGCAGCCTAGGTCCCACGACTGCATGCAGCCCAGCTACTACTTAAGTGCTAAGAATACGCGAATTGGGAGTAAAGATCGGCACAGCCAAGCATGAGAAGCACACTGGACGCATACGAAGTCTTGTTAACCATCATAAGACTGGTACTATTAACCGCACGACGTTGATGAATATGTTGAGATGGGAATCTGAGCGCCTATGGATGTGTCCGTAGTGCTGCGAAGAAAATCTAACTCATAACTCAACATATGCAGCCTATCTACCACCCCCTGAAATATTAGACTGTCCCATAACCTGTGGATTTTCCCTGTTTGCGGTAGGATATTAATAAAGCACCACATATTCAGATCATGCATTTTCCAAAATGTCAACTTACAGATTTGAGTCATGGACTCTCACTTAGTCTTCTAAAAAAAATATCTGCTGTGTGGTCTAGAGGCATGGTGTCCGCCTCGAGTGCTAGAGGTTCTGGGTTTAATCCCAGGTAAGGGCTGGGACTTTTTCACATGGACTTGGACTTCTAGTAATTCCCCCGTCTCTGGGTAGTGAGATCGGACGCCCGTGTGCATTGTTGCGCACGTAAAAAAATCCCTTGGCAGTTGGAAATCGAAAAGAGTAGCCTAAGGGCGTTGCCTGGGCAAAATGTGAAGTTACAAATCGCCCAAAGTATTTCAGGATCCTCGCCGGTGCTACAGAGCCTGTGCACTGTGCTGAGCATCTGTGGCGGGTAACTTCGCTTTAACTAGCGAATGCACTATGTGCACTTTACAGAGGGAATTACAAACAGTGAGTCATCATAAAGTCTTATAGTAACCCCAGCCTTGCTGGTTAAATGAGAGGATTCGGGGTTTGCCCACATCTTATTCCCTGCTGTAATTAAGATTGTATATTTAAATGTTCTTAAGTTCACTGACAATGTTTACAGTTAAAATGAAACTTCATAAAACTGTAGGAACATTAAAACTAACATTTATTCAGAATTGGATATCAAAATAATAAACAAAATGGCTGTGGATATAAAATCCTGTTATACAAGGTAGGTTAAATCTTAGCTGTAGCTTTAGGTCAGCTTCTAGCTAAGCCTCGGTGACACATCAGGCAGGCCGAATCTTCCGGTCCAGTCCAGACAATCGGGCATCTGCAGCTAAGCTTAGGATATACTTCTGGACTCCCACTTGTATTTACCATCTGGAATACAATCTGGAATACAATCTGGAACTAGAACAATAGAACAGTCCTTATACAAACAGTCAGGAAGGTTCTAACTGGAGACAACAATACCTCCAGTCTTTAAACTGTTACACTACACACATACATATGGAGTAGGATAGAAACAGGTGTTCACATTCTACTGGTATAGAATGGGAATGTATACAGAACATGGTCCATAATCCTGATGGGGAAATATTTAGGAAACCAGTTTCATGAATACTCTCAAGAACAAGAGTTTACATCACACAAAAAGAAAGGACATTCCTCAGTGTAAATTGTTCTGATGTCTGCACACTAGTACTCCTTTGAGGGGTTAACATGCTTACACACACAGACATACACAGTCATATTTCACAATATTCTCATTTTAACCAAATGGGTTCACATCACAATGAATGAGAAACAGGGAGTGAGTTTACCAAGACCAGGAACTCATAACAGGTGCTTTGCACTGTTTGAAAATAAATGGGATTGACATATCTCCATCAATATACTGGGTGCTGGGATAGATGTCAAAATACAATCATAGATGACAATGGGCTTTCCATCTGTCACAGTATTAACATAAATTATACCACACTCACTCCAGTTTAAATCTAAATCCACACATGTGCTAATCTTATTCAGCAGAGTTTAGAAGTGGTGAGGGGTGAAATATAATTATTACATTTGTAAGGCCACCTGCTGTAGAACTGAAATGTATTCCTAGTAATAGGGAAATATATCTACAACAATAATAATTACAAGCATGGGCCATACATCTTTCTTCTTCTTTTCTGACAGTGTGAATATTAAATTCAGCCTCACTGTGTTATTCACTTTCCAAGCTCTTAAACTAGTCTCAGAATTATCTGGACTAAATCCAAATTAAAGCCATACAGTGATTTATCAAACTCATTTCACCATGAGGTAAAAATCAACTTAGTTGGGATTAGGTATAATGAATACACACTTCATTCCTATTTTTAATTGTCCCACTATGCTGGAAACCGGAACTGGCCGAGATTTTACATGTGGACATAATTATCACTTAATTAATATAAGTATAAAAATTAAGAATACCAATGCACGTTTCTAGTAGCAAATAAACATTAATTCAATCATCAAATAGATAATATGTTTGCATACATGTACATACTAGATCATAAACGTGGTTAGTAAGGATAAAGAAATTTATCATAGTTTTTGAGCCATGTGGGCATTAAATTTCAGAATTTAACCTGTGGAATTAATTCAGAGGAATAAGCAGCAATACATCAAATTAAACTTATTCTTTTAACTCACCCCTGGCAGGGAATTCAAACAGAAAATTGGACCACAGGCGGACTAACAACTTTAGTCTGAACCGGTCAATTTCTGAATTGAAAATGGAACAGGAAGTCTTTAAAAAGGAGGAAGTTACTCTTCAGTTCCCCTTGACTAATCATCTCATTCGCCTTTATTACCTTTCAACTCTTTAATTATAATTTTGCTCCAATGAAGCATTTAGAAAGGGGTAAGAAATTTCTTAATTAATCCAGTGTTATTATGCTAATTAAAAGCAATAGGAAAATGCTTAGAACTTTGGTAATAGTATTATCTAAACAAAGCAATCTTTAAAAGGACAGAAACAGCTGTCCAGACCAGCTCGTCACAGCATCCTCGAACTCAGACTTGAGTTAGAAGAAGAACGGAGCAAGTGTGAGTTACTACCAGTATGTGTCATGATATTGATCCGTTGTTCAAACCTGAAATCTCAGAAGAATATCGGAGCTTTTGAACTGAAATACTACATAAATTTTATATATTTTTATGATGAAGACTACTTCCCATCCAAAGAAGTGAAAGTGACGTGCGCAAAGTATTTGGATTTAAGTGAGGAGGAAGAGTTACGTGATTGGTCGACCTCACTCTCTCGCCTGTGTCCATCTTGATATCCAATGGCAGGACAATGTCGAGACGATTGGAAATGGACCTTGGTGTAGTGGATGACCAGGGCGTCTTAAGTGTCCTGCCTTGCTCGAAGCTCTCCACAGAGCCTTCTGGCAAACGCCTTCTTGTACGTTGGACTATAAGAAGTTTCATCCGCACAACCCAGAAAGTCTGGTCTTTGTATAAATATATAGACGAATATACACAGACACATTTATGTATGTGTAGACAAACCTAAAATCCCACATACGATGTTCGCACATACAGACACGCACACACATACATACATATACGTACATGGATACATAGGTACATATACATTGACACATCTACCTTGATACATACACATACACACACACGCACACAAACACACATAATTATATATACGTACATAGATAGATAGGTACATATACAGACATTGACACATGTACCTTGACACATACACACACACACACGCACACACACACAGACATATATATATATATATATATATATATATATATATATATATATATATATATATATATATATATATATATATATATATATATATATATATATACGTACACAGATACATAGGTACATATACAGACATTGACACATGCACCTTGACACACACACAGAGACAGACACATACATCTAAAGATAAGCGGTCACACCACACACGCACACCTACACCCGTACATTAGGATTTGCATACGCATATAAGAGCCTATTTACATTAGTTCTTCCAGAAATATCTCAAGTTCGGTGTGACACCATTACCTGAGGGATATACCATTGTACAACACCAAACAAACCGTACATTTGCCACCACCCTAATTTAAAACGTATTATTTGCTCCCGTCGGCGTCTGTGTTTTGTCATTGTGAACGCATCTGTATAATTCCAAACATGCCGGCGTTCTGAGATAGCTGCTGTTTGTTTTATAGCAGTCCGCTTTGCGCTAATATCAGGCAACGGTACTAGGTTCGTCCACTTCAGCGATCAATGATAAACCGTCGTGAACCAGTAGATCCTTCACAGAACGTCGCTCTCCTCACAGCGCACTAAAAGACGCACTTTCCCTAGCCAATTTTTCAACCCTGTGTGCTTTCATAGCCGGTACATCTTAACTGTCTTGTATGCCCGGCTCTTTAGCGTAGTTGGTTAAACCTGACTTTCGCGGCGGCCCGTTGACGAACTCCTTGTGGTCCGGGTTCACTCCCGGGGTAGGCAGAAAAGCCACTTTTCTCCCAGATTAACGGTACCTATAATGTAATCAAGGCCGTTTAATCACAATGCTACTGGCACCATTAGTATCGGAACTCTTCGCTGGCTGCTGAAGAACGAGACGGAGAGCCTATGGGAATGCCCAGAGTGCTGTGATGTCGGTTCTTGAATTAAATCAGTGACCAAAATTCCTCAACTTTCGGGACAAGATGCTGTTAATTAACATGTTTTTCTCGACGCCCAGATCATGCAGGACAACGGTTCTCAACCTCTGGGTAGCGAACGTTTTGTGTGGGTCGAAAGACTCTTTCACTGGGGTCGCCAAAATACTATCGGAAAACACATATTCTCTGCAGTTATGTAGTAGCAACAAAAATAATTGTATGGTTAGGGGTCACCACAGCAGGAGGAACTGTATTAAAGGGTCATGGCATTAACAAGGTTGAGAAACGCTGATGTAGGTTTTACAATAGAGTCTTTATGCTGTTCAGCCTCTGCGTTGCTAAGGAGTCTTTTTCTGACTTCTTTTGAACAATCGCCAACATTGTTGACTACTGAGCTCAAGATGTCTTGTAAAGGACACATAGCTAACGATGTACTTGTTTGCGAGGTCCTGCAAGAAAATACAGTTAACTATTTACTTTGTTTGTTGGGAGTTACTTCAAAAATTAGACGGTCATCTGTTTACTTTACGAACAAGATATACAACTTACTGTTTATTTGCCTGCGAGGTCCTGCGAAGGATATACAACTGTCTGTTTACTTGTCTATGAGGTTCTTAAAAGGATATACAACTAAATATTTCTTTGTTTGTTGCAGGCTGACGAGGACCTAAGAACTTTCATATACGACCTTGAGAAAGGCGGCTTCTTAAACAACACACTTCTGGTCGTCATGGGCGACCATGGCGCCCGATTTGCCGAAGTTCGACGAACCGTTTCCGGAAAGTTGGAAGAAAGAATGCCCTACGTGAGCCTTCGCTTCCCACCTTGGTTTGAGCTGAAATATCCACATTTGATCAAGAACATTCGAACTAACGTCAACAGACTTACAACTCCATTTGATCTACACGAAACATTCAAAGATTTTCTCTTATTTGATGAAGCGGGGTTAGGCGATGTTAAAAACAGAGGCATTAGTTTGTTCAAGGAGATACCCTTATCCAGAACTTGCGATCATGCCGGTGTTACACCACACTGGTGCGCATGTACTGGGTGGACAAGTGTACCGGAAACAGATCCACATGTCAGAAGAGCTTTGCAGACTACTTTGGAGGTACTGAACAATTTTACAGATCCTTTCAGATCTGATTGTGCCTTGCTCCGCATTGGTAATGTTTCAATGGTTTCGAAAAAGTCTGCTAACGAAGCAGATATCTATCAAATTACATTTTTCACAGAACCAGGTAAAGGCGAGTTCGAGGTTACACTAGAACATGATACAGCCTCTAACGAGATAACTTTAAATTCGAAATCAATCAGTAGAATTAACCAATATGGCAATGACCCGGCTTGTGTTTTAAACAAAAACAGAGAAATTCGGCAATATTGTTACTGCAATAGTAACTTGAATGCAAGCCCTAATTTGACCAAGAGTACTGACTGAAAAAAAAAAAAAAAAAAAAAAAGAAAGATATTTATGCATGTCTAATCAGGTAATTGCTTTTTAACTTCGAAACAAACGGATCACCCCATATTTGCTTCATCACTGTCCCTTGTTTAAAAAAAAAACGATAATACTTCCGCCTAAGCAATGCCAATAGTATACAAAAGCTTTAAATGTATAATGCAGGCATCAGAGGTTCTGAAACAAACAGTCTGACACTAGAAATGCAGTTTGTAGTCGATTGGCATAGCAACAAATCAATAGTTTGACACGCATTTAATTGCATAAGTCACCACCGGTTATCTCTGACAACAGACCGCTTACCATTTTCTGAATCCGTTGTTCACACCACAAACCACACTGGACACAGTCGAAAAGAATTCCAAATGAAAACTGCAGCTCACAGTGTGGCGGCAAGCAGCTCGATCAACAGCTGTGAGAGAAAAAGATGTCTTTTCAGTCTAAACATCATGGACAGTACAACGACCAACTATTGTCAAAAGCAAAAAGGCTGCCACTACTAAAAACAGCAAACCTGCTCATCCGCCATAGAAGAATGGAATGTTTTACAGATTACAAGGAGGCTTCGACATTGTGCAACATGAACAGTTTACTGAATACCCATCAAAATATAAAATTCGATTGAAAGGATGTCAGAATTATTAGTAACCCATACTGAACAATTAGCAACAGTTAGACACAACAATATCGTCTCACCACAGATAGAATGTGTGTTATCCCCTCCCCCAAACCTTTTCAACTTATGTACAGAAAACAAAATAGAGATTTTTGAATTTACCTAGACTGAGTATCGGAAAACTATCGGAACCATACCCATCGTTAAATTTATTGAGAAGCAAAGAATGAAATGGTTTGGTCACCTAATGAGAATGGAACCAACGATGCCAGCATCAAGAGCATACAACATGAAAATCGAAACACCAAGAGGCAGGGGAAGACCAAGAAGAATATGGATTGAAGGAGTCACGGACAACTTGAGACTTCATAACATTATGGCATATGAAGCGACTGAGCGCGCCCTGGCTCGGTTGCCGATCATCTGATAGACTGCGACGCCTAGCGGCACAAGCAGATTTTGACAAAAGAAAGAAGAGTATCAACGGAAGAAAAATACACAATCTTGGAAATTCTGTGGTCACAGTTTTATTAGCAGAAAATAAGCAGGAATTGCAGGATCGAGTCAACAAACAGCGTGCAGAATGTCGTAAAGATATTAACATTCGAAAAACAAAAACTATGATAATTAACAATGAAAAGTAGCGACTAACAGCGACCATTACTATAAATGGAAAAATATTAGAATAAGTAACAAGTTTCTTCTATGTTGGACACACAAAAACGGACGATAGCTGCAGTATGTGTGTGTGTGTGTGTGTGTGTGTGTGTGTGTGTGTGTGTATAGCTCTCCTGTATGGTGCAGAAATTTGGATAGTAAACAAGCAACTATAAATCGAACAGAATCTCTGAAATGTAGGTGTGCATAAGAATATGTCCTATTGATTGGAAACAAAGATAATCAAATACAAAGGTTATGGTGAGAAAGTGAATGGAAAATGAGTTACTGAAAGGAATTTAAAAAAAAAAAAAAGACGACTGATATGTTTCGGCCACATTTAACGATATAGCACTCTTGAAAAGCATATTGGAGGTAAAAGTCGGAGGCAAGACAAAAAGAGGTAGCAAAAATGCAAGTGGGAGAACAACACCAAGAGATGGATGAACAGCAGTCTGAGAGAGTGTACAACCAAGACAAGAAACAGCTTCCGTGGAAGATCTATTGCAGTCAACCTTCATTGCGGAGACGGCACCTGATTGATGACTGAGTAACTTCTGTTTATTACTAATGTTAGACACACAGTGAATATTTAGCTCACAATTGTTTTATTTTGCATAGTTCTCAGCATAGACGAAGTGTGAGGATTATTGTCTGGATTTTTTTTTCACCGGGGCACGCCTGTGTGTTGGGAAATGAACAGGCGGACAGACTGGCTGGCTCTGCACAACCACAGACCCATGAACATACTTACACATAAACGCACTTGCACACATGGAAATGCGCACAATGACAAAACACACACACACAAACACACACAACAGACATGGCACCAGCATAGGCAAATGATTTTACAGACACTAAGTATAGGCACAACAGACACAGAAGAAAGAATGCTTTCTTCCAATTCATTGCCCCCCCCCCTTTCCCCCTTTCCACCCTTTCCCTCACATGTCATTGCCAGGTTGCTGTCTGAAGGTTTAAAAAGATAATCTCAGTCTGGATGGCAAAGTAACAGGAAAAATTCCAGATAACTTGATCAGTCTCTCATCATCATCATCATCATCATCATCATCATGTAGCAGGTCCCTTGCAGAAGGTCGCCTTCATCACGATTTGCCTGAAAGAAACTCGTTCTCTAGCCACCTCTCTCGCATTCTGCATCTTCATATCCTAGGTGTCACTTTTTTCCTGTGCCCATCTTGGTGCTAGTCGGTCCCTGCCTGGCACCATGCCTTCTGCTGATTTTCCCCGTAATCCACCATAGCGTTTCCATAGATAATAGAGTGGTAGTTTTCCTTTGCTTTGCACATCCACGTGGATTTAAGCTGTGTCTTCAGCATTTGTCAGCCTTTTAGATTGCGAGGGCAAGTAGTGTGCCCTCCTCTGTGATACTCCTGCTAGAAGCAGAGGGCAGCCCAGACGTGTCCACTTATCACGCTGGATACTCGGTCCCCATAGCTGCGTTGGCCACACCGTAATATGTGTACCATCCTCAGATACGTGTATCAAGGAACGATATAAACCCGAATGAAAAAAAAGTGTATCGGTGAGCTTCACGATATAACAAATACAAACAGAACGTAAGCGTTGCTGTTATGCAGCCTTTATCAGCACATACACAAATTAGACCATACTACACAAAAACACAATATCACTTATCTTCGTATCTCGAAGCAGATAGGTCGATGTCTAGCCAATAGACTGGCGGGACACCTGGAAAAAGAAAAAGAAATATCCCGGAAAAGCAAGGGGCCGGAACTCGACGATGAGATGAAACCGTCATTCGGTTAAGCCCCCTAGAATGCCAGATAAAGCAGTGTTTGCAGTTATAATTTTAGTTAACCTGCACTCGCAAAATAAAACCAGGCAGGTTCATGAAATTTTTAAAAGGGCTTGTCTAGAGCGAGGAGGTTCTCTCTGTGTTCTCGGCTCGTCCTCAGGTCAATCTCCCTGTCATTGCACGCACGAGGTCTAACGCAGCGCAGGTGCAGCGGACTGAGCCGAAATAGATGGAGTGACTTTCTGACTGCACGATGTAGTGGTGCGTTCAACAGTTAGACGTTGTAAGACCTAATTTTTTTTTTAGTAATCAAATGTGTTAGCCCTAGATTTCGACGCGTATCCTCGCTTAGAGATTTATACTTGTAGGTCATTGGTTAGCTGAAGTGCTTAGCACATGGTCTGTTTGAACACTATTAGATTGTTAATATATTGTTATCTGTGAAGCACTTAGTTTTCTGTTCAGGAAAATAAAAGATGTTACATGTTATGATTATAATTCATTTGCTTCATTTAAGATAAAATGTGCAGTTCGTACACGTGGTCTGGCCAGGCTTTACTTATTTGGTCATATGTTGTTATTGTTGTTGTGCAACTCATTATAAACATATTCATTGCCTTGGTTAAGAAAAATATTGTATGACCCCTGCACATAAAAACCTTGTCTTTTCTTTGCTCTTCCTGTTTTTGCTGATCTTTACCACATTTCTTTCCTAGTCTCCCTACTTTTTGTTTTTCTGTTTCTTTTTCCTTTTTTCCCCCCGTTAGTTTAAGATCACCTGTAGATTTAGATCTTGTTTTAGAACCTGGGCGTTAATTACACACTTGATTTACAAATCAGGCGTATTTGTATGCAGACTCAGGGTTCCTATCTTCTCGGGCACATCCACTCAAAGAAAAAGTCTTCAAAGAAAGCTCCCAGTTAGTCGACTCTTACAACATACCAGTGGGGGGGGGGGGGGGGGGGTTTAGGAGGGGCAGTGGGTCTAGTATTGTTTTCTTCTACAATGTGTCCCCTGAACTCAAACATGTAAGGTTTTTGCTAACTTCCACTTATTACAGTTTAAAATTCTCTTATATTTACTTGTCGACTCTGTGGTTAAGTCGATGCGAACGCTTCGTAATGCCGGGATGCCGGGTTCGATTCCAGCTGCCGGCCATGCGCCTTGCGTTGGTTTCGACAGGGATATCAAGAAAGCCAACCGTCCAGAAAGCGATGGCAAACTACTGGACGTAAATTTGCCCAGAAAAACCACAAAACAACCAGGGACTGTTGGGGTTGGTTCTGCAACGTCCTGTAAAGGAAACGCAACTAACCTATATTTACTATCTTTCTTTACCAGGTCCGGAGAAATGAAGGCGGCTGGCGTCTTTCTGAACACATTACCCACCAAGTGCAGTTTAGACTATAAAATATAGGTTTAGCCCTATATACCATAAATACATGAAAAGGGATCTTTTACTTTGCTTTTAACCTTTTTTTTTAAACATTATCTGAGATCATGCTAAGGGATGTAACCACATAAATTATTGAGTGTTTGTGAACTGGCTAAGGGGAAATAATTATGATAATTTTGTATTAAATGCACATTACTTGATCGTCCCAGGTCGATTTAGCCGAACAAAACTAACAGGCAATCTCCATAAACAGGCGTTAAAACAATAAACAAAGGGTAAAACATATTCTAACAGAAATTACTGAGGATGTTAATAAATAATAAATGTTGACTGCAAGTATACTTTGGGATTTTTGTCCCTACCCGTAAAAGAAAGCTGGTTGCATATTGCTTTGGTTACGTCCTTTTCAGGACGTAATTTTTTGTTATTTGAAGCCCCACCCTGGTTTTTGCCAGGGACCGCAATATAGGCAGGCCATAAATATGGCCAATTGTCTGAACGCGGTTTCTGGGACCTCTCCACGGCG